AGAGCGGTGGCTATTGAAGGGATCATATAGGTAGCTTAATAACATCACTTATGGGACTTTTCGATATTATACCAGAATAAATTGAAAATTGTAAAATGTTTCATGCTAACTAGCATTCAATCCATTGATTTTAGAGATTTACTTCTTTTTTACATCATGTTCTAGTTCATCAATCAAATGCTGTAAATTTTCTGACATTAACAGAGAATTGGCTAGCTGATTTTTTTCGATGCCATGATGCACACACACACACATTTATTTTTTCGGGGCATTTACATACATTCCACCCTATTCATTTGTTTTTACATACATAACACCTAAACTTTTCTTTTTACATGTATGCCACCTAATCTTTTCTTATCACATAAAAAGAAGCATCATTTTAACTTTTAAAAAGTGAAATACACATTTTCATGCATAGATAAGGTGGCATCTATGTAAAAATTGAAGTTTGGGTGTTAGATATGCAAATACATAGGAATTGAGTGGTTGTATATAAATCTTTTTCTTTTTTTTTTTTTTTTTGTCGCTTGTCCTTTCTCATACTATTGAGCAATATCTTTCTATCCATCTTATATTATATTCTCCTATAGATATTACGTCCTATCTTTGCTTATGCTTTAATCTAAAGTTTGAAGATTTAATTAGATATGACCATTCGTTCTTTTGCCAAAAAGTTTCTATTGCATTACTATTGTAGGGATTCTTACACATTGATGAATATCCTCCTGACGCCAATCAGGGCTTTGACATTCCATCTGCTTTAGTTTCTTTTCCTGACTTTCGTTGTGGCAGAAGCTATCAGTTAGATGAGTTGATGCATTACCAGTCCACTCTTCTATCCAAGTTTCAGGTATCATGAACTCATGCTATTTGATCGCAGTATTTAATACTACTGAGTTTATTCATAATATATTTTCTGCAGCTTTTTTATTAGAAAAGTTACCATGAAATTTAAACTATGTTAAGGAGTTTTTTTTTTAAATTGTTGAGGAATATTTGAATCCTTTTCTTCACTTTATAAAGCGAAGGTAATAATTCTTGATATACTTCTACAAATGTTGGTTATTTAACCTTTTTATTTTCATATATTTTGCAGGAGGGAAATCCTGTCCAAACGTATACAGAAGTATTACTTGTACCATTAACAACTCCTGATTTTAGCATGCCTTATAATGTCATCACATTTACTTGTACAGTTTTAGCATTATATTTTGGATCAATGCTTAATGTTTTGCGAAGAAGGGTTGGCGAAGAAGGGAGATTATCAAGAAGTAAAGGTATTTTCTTATTTTGAAAAATTGCTCAATTTTTGGATATTTTCCTGTTAACTATTATATCTAAGTGAGAGCACCTCCATTTGTTATATCATGTCATGGAGGAAATTTTTCTAGACTATAACTTCAACTCTAGAAGCTTTTACAGTGCACATTCCATAAATTCTCATAAATCCTTTTTTTACTAGGTAGGAATTTACTTGCTAATTTTTTGTATTATAGCAATATGAGGAAAGTGTCAAAATGATCCGCTCTCACTTTATAGGGGGTTATTTTGGTCCCGGAGTCTAAAAAAAAAGTGAATTTAGTCCCCAAACTCTTTTAATGGGTGTTTAAAGAATCTGGGTAGGACGACTATTTCAGCCCCCGTTATCATATTAATAGAGTTTGCAGACTAATTTGACACTTTATAGATTTTGGGATTAAAATTAACCCATATAAATAGTCAAAATATTTTGATGTCACATCCCAGATCTGGAAGGCTTACTTTGGCAATGCAGGACATGATGAAATGAATTTAACATATTTTGTATTCGTAAAGAAAAATTGATATGCAAATAATAATAGAAAGAAATAATGAAAGATATTTTATTCCATAAATAGGAGTTCAACTGTTACAATGGAATGAAAAGCAGCACTTGCTGAAGTAAAACTGAAATGACCGTAAAAAACTATCACTCAAAATCCAAAAGAGAAAATACATTAAATAATGCAAAATTGGAAATACTAACTAGAAATCTTGAATTAGAAAGTTTGATCTTGTCGGGCCGATCCTACAAGTGGCTGAGAGGAACCTGTTATATAAAAATATCAACGATTGAACTTGACAAATCAAACTCAGTAAATAATAACTATTTGTTAAATAATAAATGTCAAACGAAATGGGATATACAGTATGAACGATAAAAGTGAATTATGTACATGTATATAACCTAAAGTTTCAAAGAGTATCAAATGCTTATGATTATGAATATAAGTGATTTAAACACATGCTCTTATAGATTATCATCACATCAAATGTGTTTATATATATAGTGTTTAAGTATTCTTTAACACTATCTAATAATATACAAGTGTCTTAAGTGTAAACAAATATAATTACATTTATTTCGTTGTTTTTCTACGATACCCTATGATACTATAGTTAACCCAAATCATAATAGAAAAACTGATATTATTACTTGAAGCAACTAAGTTGTTGCAATCAAAACACTTGAAAGGAAAAATATATCAACTCGACACTCGAAAATCAAAAATAGCAGTAAACACGACACAAATAATCATATTAGAGTGGAATCTCAAGGTGGTGGTGGTGATCGACGAGGGTTTGGCACTTTAACGAGATAGCAAGGAGTGGGTGAGGGTTGGAAGGCGCTGCGATAGCAAAAAGTGTGGATGATGAGATGGAAAGGGAGTTTCTGCAAGGGCAGCAAGCTGGAAGGAGAGGAATGGATGGCTGGGTGGATGGGACAACAAAAAATAGCAGGAAAATGTTGTTTCTGAGCGGCTGCAACAATGGGGGGATGTTGGCGGAAGCGACAGGATATGTGCAGAACTGCAGACAACAGCAAGCTGGAAGGAGAGGAATGGATGGTTGGGTGGATGGGACAGCAGAAAATAGCAGGAAAATGTTTCTGAGCGGCTGCAACAAGGGGGGATGTTGGCGGAAGCGACAAGATATGTGCAGAACTGCAGAACAAAAAGAGGACGACTGTCTAGGGTGGCGGCAGCAAGGATAGGTGTCTGAATTGGGGAAATTACAAGGTGCGGTCATTTGGGGCAACTACAACAATTGAGGGCTGTCAAGAGTGAAGTGTGGAGGATGTGAAAAGGGATAGGGAAAATAAACACCACTTTGCGAAGACAAAATTGGAGCACCGCTCAAATCTTTGGATACAGCGGAGAAACGGATGTCGACGACTATCTATTCTAACTCACACTGAAAATTAAATTTCAAACCTTAATACAACACATATATAGGAAAGGAATAAAAAGCAATGGAAAATAATAGGAATGAAAGCATAAGGAAATTAGGATTGTTTCGATCCATCTCCCTCGATTTTGAAATTTCGCAATACTATAGCAACTACAGTACAACATCCGCAGTGAGCTTCGCGTCAATCTCCTGGGGTTGGGGAGATCTTCGATCTCATCCGTTGAAGTTTCTATGCCCTCACCATATGGCTTAAGGTTGACCAAATTGAAGGTGGCAGAAATATTGTAATCTCCCGGTAAGTCAATTTTGTTGGCATTGACATTTCAAAGTACATCTTGCTATAATAAGCATCCATTCTGTTTTGGCACAATCGTAACTGGAATTGTATGTGGATGAGTATCCTCACGAACCAAGTCTCGAACCATCAAATCTGTGATTGGCTTTTCATACTCTCATACTTATCCAAGTGTATCTGATAAAAAATTATGTAAGGAGGAATTAATTCTTGGATGAAATTTATGTCAGGTTGCACCATTCTAAGTACCAATAGCTCAAGAGAGACATTTTCTTTACTAATAGTACCTAGATCTCATTGAAGAATTTCCTTCCCCGTCGGGCTTCTGAAACAAATTTCAAAGTTGGGGTTCATCCCTTATGTTTAGACATCTGATGATGGGTACTATTCTTAACTGAATCTAACATCTAAATAACTCCCTAGAATCTTCTCGACATGGCACCACAGAGTTTCATTTCTGACATATGGGACCTTCCTCAACAGGGGCAACTTAGGGATGATTTTATAGATCTGGAAAGTTTGAATTTCTCCTATTTGGGTTTGTTATGTGTCTAATATCGGCTCTTCAAACTTATAGCCCCTTTGGACATTTAAGGTCAGTCATGTTGATGTTCTTCTCAACACCTGCAAACGGCTAGCTTGATGCACCACAATCTTGTACTTTGCAAGAACGTTCATTACATCAGAGTCACTATATTCTGGAACACTATTGTTACCTCCATTAGAATTTCTTTTTTGGGGTCAATTGGAATCGATAGTGTCACTTCCTCGTTGCTAAAAATTGAGACCCCCTCTAAAGTCTTCATCTTTTTCCGGATCACTGTTTATTTTTTCAATTGTTCTCTGATCGTTGAAAGTGATCACTCTCTTGGTTGTGCAATCTGATTCGTTGTGCCCAAATCTGTGGCCCTTTCAAGTTGCTACACTTATCACTGTGACAGATTTAGGGATGCGGATTTGTTTCACCTGTTCTCCACTCTGAATCAGTTTTTCTTCTAACTGGGTGTTCTCTGGCTATAAGATCTTGAGATTGAACTCTGCAGTAAGATGTGGTGGTCGCGCAGTGATGTAGTCTTTCCACTTTTGAAGCTAGGGTTTGAACGCTCTTTCTATAGTAAGATGGTAGGAACTAATGTTGTGTCTCTAGCTTCATTTCGGATTATCTTGTTCTCCCCTTATACTCTCCAGATCACGGTCGAGAGCAATCTTCTGTTGGGTTTCATCATTAATGTCCGCAAGCCTTTGCTGAAGTCGATGGCTCTCTCGTTGTATCTCTTCTTAGGTAAACTCAAGCATGTTTCTCTTTGGTAGTATGGCTAGAGTTTAGAGTGAGGGTGAAAGAGGGTGTAAAAATTGTAAAAATTGATTTAGGATTGCTAATTTTGAAAATCAGCAAGGGAAAATTAGGGTTAGGTCAAACTTTTAACTATGGTTTGGAAATGAGAAAGAAAAATTTTTGTGGAGGGGTAAGACGGATGCTAGAAAACCCTAGGATAGGACTACGATTAGGCCAGTTATGTAACCAAATGATACCAGAGCTAACTCAAACCATAATAGAAAAACAAATATTATCACTTAAAGCAACTAGAGCTTACAATCAACACACTTGAAAGTAAAAATATAACAGCACGACACCCATAAATCAGAAATAGCAGCAGACATGACACAAATAATTAAAATAGGGGGGAATCTTGAGGTGATGGTGTTGGTGATCGGCGAGGGTTTGACCTTCCGACGAGGTAGAAAGAAGTGGGTGAAGGCTGGAAGACACGGCGACAACTAAGGGTGTGGATGGTGGTAGAGAATGGAAGGAGTAGAGAAGGGATCGGCTTTAAGCCCATGTCTTTTTGTTTGAGTTACGAATGCTCTTATTGGACATTTACTGGAGGATGTACCTTGGTGTGTGCTTTTCGCTGATGGTATCCTTCTTGTGAATAAGACTAAAGAAAGAGTTCAGGAAAATAATGAATTATGGAGGTCTGCATTGGAGTCTAAAGGCCTTCATTTGAGTAGGACTAAAACTTAGTATATGGAATGTAATTTTAGTAGTAGTAGCTTTAGTGGTAGAGTTGTATCTATGAGTGATCAAAGCATTAAAAGGTGTGAACGCTTTAGATATCTCTGGTCTGTTGTTCAAAGTGATGGTGATATAGATGGGGATGTTGTTATTAGTAGAATTCAAGTTGTAGGAATGCAGCAGTCCAATTGTGTGATAGAGAAGTATTGCTTAAACTTAAAAATGAAAATTTTATAAGATGGTCGTGAGACCTGCAAAGCTTTATGACACAGAATGTTGGCTTTTAAAAGAGAAGCATAGAAGAAAATTAAGTGTTGATGAGATGAGAATGCTTAGGTGGATGAGTGGCGTGACACTTAGAGACAAAATGTGAAATGAATATATTCGTGATAGGGTTGTAGCTCCAGTGGCAGACATAATTAGAGAGAGTCGCCTTAGATGGTTTGGTCACTTTAAACATTGATGATCAGTTGATCCGGTTTGAGACTATATGTTTTAGATTCCACTTGTGTTAAGAAAGGTAAAGGTAGACCTAGAAAAACTTTGGCATATTGTATAAAAAATGATCTTAATTTATTAGAATTAAATGAAAATATTGCTCTCAATAGGACTCAATGGAGAAAGAGGGTTCACGTAGTGGGATAAAGGCTTCTTGTTGTTTTTTGTTGCTATATTTGTATGATAAAGGATGTTTCGATGTTGTTGGCCTAGAAGCATTGTATTTTATCAGCTGAGAAATGTTATTTGTACTTTCGTTATGACCCATGAGATGTATTCTGTTAATTAAAATACATATAATGTAGTAAAAAAAATCAAATATCAGCAAACTACGCATGAAAGTTTGATTGTAGATTTTACCAAATATCTCATGTCGAAACTTTTCTCGACCAAGGAAAATGGAATATCAATTTTTCTAGTGCTCAGCATGGCTTTGCGGGCTACTGATATCTCTGTCACACTTACCTGTATAATCCATGAGAAGCAAAACCTTTCCTTCTATCAAAATTTACTTATTCGGTATATTTGTCAACAGCAAACATAATCAACTCTCTCTCTCTCTCTCTTCTGCAGCTTCAGAGAAGCCTGGGCTAATTCCTCAGCTCTTATCCAAGTTGGCTTCAAAACTAAAAGGCAAAGCACCAGAACCTCCTTCACCATTATCAACATCTTCATCTATTTTAGGACCTAAACTACTATCTAAAATCATTCTAGTTGGTTTGCTAGCCGTTATCTGGAATTACTATCTCAAAGATAGTTAAACTTCTAATCATCTGTAGTTTCATTTTAGGAAGATTTACATACATGCCGCTAATTTTTCATGTATTTACATATCTAACACCTATGCTTCAATTTTTACATACATATCACCTTACGTATGCAAGAAAAAGTGTGTTTAACTTTTTTAAAGTTAAATTGGTGGTATTTTTGATGTGATATGAATGATTTGGGTGGTATAAAAGTAAAAGATCAAAGTTTAGCTGTCAGATATGTAAATACATAGGAATTGGGTGGTATAAATGCAGTTTAATTTTATCAGATTTTAGCAAGTTCAATCTGTGTTGTTATTGTTTGAGTGAACTGAGTTGCACCAGGATGGTTTTTCGTTCAAGATGCATGAGATTTCATGGGTTTTAATCATCAAAATTTGAATGTGGTTGCTCTTACAGGAGAGAATTTACAGCAGCTCGCACTTTCGTTAGCATAATTAAGAAGAATTTGAAATTTATTGTAAATATAATAGTTCACCTGATGTCATTGTTGGTTTTATACAACAACAAAAATCATCTATCCCACAAGTAGGTCGGGCAATATGAATCATTTTTCTCTATTATGTCCTATTGAGTTTTATATTTTCATTTAATTTTTAATAGATTAATATCATTTTTTTTATAACAGGCTAAGTCTTTTTAGGTCTATCTGTCTTTCTTAATATAAGTTAAATTAAACGTATATACTCTTAACCTGATACAAATCATCTAAGACAATTCCCTCTAATCGTTGTTGGTCTCTCTAATTGTTGTTGGGTTTATGTTGAATTATATTGTTTCAAATCAAATATTATATATATTCATTTTTTGTATAACTAAAAAAATATTATAAGTTAATTGCGTTTATTTAACTATTATTATTATTATTATTATTATTATTATTATTATTATTATTATTATCATTTTATAGGTGTGAGAAAATGTCTAATTATGAGGTCATTACCTTATCTTATTTTTTAGTTTTGATTTATTTTTCAGCAAAATAAAAGGCCCCTTGGATGAACAGGAAATCCAAAAAGCAAATATATTTGATGATTATTAGAGTTTTATTATGTGAAAAATTTAAAGAATTATTTGGAACAAGGTATCCATAATTTTCATATTAATGAAAAATAATATTACCGTCGTGCGAAATAAAAATATATATATATATATAATTAATCAATTATATATTTTAATCTTTGCACTGTAAATAAAAGAATGCACTATAGTAAATTTTCAAATTAAAAACTTTAATATGATGAATGTAATTTTTTTATTCATTCAATAAAGATAAGAAATTGTAATTTTGAAATAAGCATAATAAATTTCAATTTTTTTGTCTTTAACAAGATGGATTGTTAATGTTTTTTTTATCAGGTTCACTTCTCCGATTAGGTTCCTCAAGTTATGGCATTTATCGGTGTTATAGTTGTGGTCTCAATGGTACAAAGTATGTCTTTAGGTCATGTAGTGGCTTTTAACATTCATGAGTGCTAGTTTTGATAAGTAACATTTATTTTGGATGGCCCCAACTACTTCAACAATAGAGACTCTTAATGGAGTCAAGAAAGGCAAATGATGAATAAGGAGGTGACCTCATTTCTATCCGACAAACAATTTGCCACACTTTATATTAAGTTCTTCTTCAATGGATCGAGCTCAACGCTCCTAAAAAGGGGAAGGTCAAGGCTTTTCAAAGTTTGGTCTCACCCTTGTGAGGCAATTTTTTCTCGGTTGACTTGGATAAAATTTATCTTTAGAAGATGTGGTCCTCGGTGCTTCGTCTAATACGCGTCAAGCAATGAATTATATTTGCAGTGGGATATATGATTTGTGGCTTGCTTTAATAACTCAACTCGGGTCTTCACCGATTACAACTTGAGAATATAGGATAAAAGATACTCTCTAAGTCATTGGGTGAATGTAGCAAGTACTACCTATTCAACTATTCACGATCTCTAATTCTTAACGCAGTTCTTTGGAAGAGAAAAAGGAAAGGCCCTTAAAGGCCTCCCCTAGCTTATAGAGAATTCATAATAAAATTTTAGAGCTCTTCTATGGCTTCTACACACTAACAAATTACAAAATGAACATAGGTTTGAACTCAACAAATAAGGTAATTACCCTCTATGACAAGTTAACGAACCACCAGAGTGTTGAATGCTTAAAAATCATGAAGAATAACTGATACTTCAATACATTGTTTATTCAGATTAAACATACTACGAACTTGAATGAGATAATTTGGTTAGCAGTATTAGACCTACTTTCGCAAGGTTTCAAAAATAGAATCTTAAATCTCTCTATAGCATGTTTTGTATTTTCCTATCAAAGTCGACAACAAGATTCTTCTAGTCCCAATGACAAATAATCTCAGTTGTTGCCCCATTTATTATGAAGAAGAAGATGACATTTGTATACTAAATGGTACTATTGACAAATACTCTAGTTTTCTTTATCATTTCCATCATCTACTCCTCAACTTATCAATTTATTGCACTATAAATTTTTGGTGCACTCCATATTATTTAAGACTTGTTTTATGCTTGATTGTACTCCTTGTGTAACTTATATTTTTATTTGAGTCATTGAATTCCCAAACTAAATAAAAGAGAGAGAGTGTATGGTGGTGTGCAGGCAAGGGGGGTCGGTTTGTGTTGATGGTTAGAAATTAGTATCTTTTTCAATATCTTGTGATCAATTTTCTATTTCGTTACTCACCAACTTTTATTTAAAGATGGATTTCCCCATATGTTATAAGTATTATATTGATTATATATAAATATTAAAAAAAACAACATATCTCTTTTTTTGTCCTTTTCCTAAATGTGAGTTATATTTTTTTTTGTAATGCCTTGCCTAAATAATTGTCCCCTTCACAAATGCTTTAATTCTAATGTTTTATCTTGGGTAACGCCATGGCAACATATTCGACCTTAAGGCAAGTTAGTGAAGTCTCTCTAATTAGGTTGGAGGATTTGTTGTTAAATTTGTCGTATGTGCTTGGTCGAACTATCTTGATTGAATAACAATAGTTAACTATCTAAAGCAAACAAACTATTCGTGTCACTTGATCAAGTTGCTTGAGCAAAGGGTGCAGTGGAGCAACATAGGATCAGTTAGATGGCTTAGATCATATCTTGAACATAATTTAAAGATTTTGTTCATACGCTTTATTAGTTTTTTTTTTAAATCTCTCTAAGGACTGCCCTTAGAGGATGTCTATTACTATATCTTCATGTTTTTCTCATCTAGCTCAAGCCTTTGTTCCTTTCTTTTTTATTGGATGGTAGTTTCTATTCTTAATTTTTTGGATCTAATATAATTAGTGAAATATATCCTTTCTTCCTCCATTTTCTTCCCCCCTTTATCTCTCTTGGCTCAAGTAAGATTTGGGTATACTACAAATACATTTGAATTCAACATCATTCTAAGTGCAGTAAGCTTGGAGATATACCTTGAATATGAAATTATAAGCAAAATTTATGGAGGGTTGCATAATCTAACAAGAGAACTTGCTAGAAGAGATCTCATCATAGAAGATCAGGTTAGTATGACTTATATGGGCTAACTCAAAAGCATTATAACACAAGCCATCTACTTATATTTGTAGAAAAACTAAGGATTTTGATTTATAAGATATCAACTAATACTATCAGATTTATTCAGATTGCTCAACTAACCCAAAACTCAAACATAATAAGGTGTCCATTGATGTAAAAAGTAGAGAATTCCTCATACTCACTCTCATTTGTTTTATTATATTTATATTTTTGGCAAAGTCCATATAAAAATCTTTTATAAAAAGAACACAAATGAATAAAATATAAAGAAAATCTGTTATGTGAGCATTACTCGTTGAATATAATGAGCTCACCAGTGACATTGGGGAATCAAAAAAAAGTTCATTGAGACTGAAATGCAAATCACCTAGCTTTTTAAATCATACCAACAAAAAAAAGTTAACTTTTCAATAAAAATGACATACTAATTTTTTCACTCAATAAATCTTACCACTTGACATCAAACCATAAGCATCAAAATTGCTAACCTCATTTGACTTTTTTCAAACAAGCTTCAAACTAAAGTCTAACTCTCTCCAAATTTAATGAGTATTGCACAAGTCCCCTCTCTGACAAGTCTAAATGACAACTCTCCATGAAGGCCACACAAACATATGGTTCATTAAAGGCGACTAAGACTTTCATGAGTAGACGAGAAAAAAAAAGGACTAAGGGTAAGATTTGTGTAAATAACATGATACATAAAACTAATAAATGGAATTATTAAATCAAATAGGCATACCCGTCTTAGAATTTATGTATTGGATTAACTTGCTCTTACATCTCAAAATTTGTTTTGCTGAGTAATTTTCCATATATTTTGTATTTGAGATATAATATTCATCAATTTGTCAATAGCATATGATATCATGCAATTCACTAATGACATCCTCAATTTAGTAATATTATTCACTAATCAATTGATTATATTCTATATTTGATAATTACTCTTTCCAATTTGATAGTTGCATTCTACACTTGGCATTCATGACTTAACAAATTATGTACTATGATTATTAAATAGCCTTTAAAAATCGACTTGGCACCATTAACATTTTCTTAATAGCTCCGATTAGCTCAGTAGATAAAGGAAATATGGAACGATTAGAATTCATCTTAGTAAGAATACTTATATTTTTATTCATTTTTAATATTTACATATACTACAGATCACCATGTATAGCGCAAGTCTCCATTCAAGCAAATGATAAGTTCTCATTATGAAATGCTCAAATTAATGTTCATGCATGCTAATTACATAACTAAGTTGAGAATAAAGATTCAAATTTATTTCATAGAGACAAGCAATGCATAAGCTTCCCTATTAAATAGTGATTTTTTTTTACTCTGTACCTTTTTATGATTGCCTTCAAAATATTAAGAATAATCAAAGAACCAAATTTATATCACTAAAGCAGACAACGACTATTGAGTATTAACTGATAAGTATATACTATCAAATACAAGCTACCGAGTATCAATTATCAATTACGAGCTACTAGGCACAACAATCAAGTCATCTTACAAAAACATCAATTTCCTAGTAAGAATTGCCAACTACTAAGTATTGCGTGAGTGTGAGTTGTCAAGTGCTAGCTACTTATATGAATAGTTGAGGGCAATTGCGAGTGCGAGTTATTAAGTACCTACTACCAATTACAACTGCTGATACAGCTAGCTACTCACTATATTTTTGTCCCAATTTTGCATTTAGGGTACACACCTCATGTCATATATTTCCTTATCTATATATTGTTTACGCTTGACACTCGAAATCTCTCTATAAATTTGTGATATTCTGGAGAGCTTCGGGAATTCTTTTCTTCTTCAAAACCTCTATCTTTGGACTTCTCTCTTTTCCACAAGAATGTATTTTCTATTTCTCCTTTTCTTCTCTAGCTCAAACCTTTTAACTTTTTTTTTTTTTAGTTGCATAGACATTCCTATATTGTATTTTTTGCATCTTAAATATTTAATAGATTTTATGTCATTTCAATTTATTTTCACATCTATGTCTTTTTTTGGTGCTAGTAAGATTTAGATATTACACATGAACAAATCCTTTCAACATAGTATATAGTTTTCCCTTAAAGTTACTTGTGCCAATTATCATTATTTATCTCTCTACCATATTCCTTATATTCCTTGCTTGAACCAATCCCTTTCCCCTTCGAGGCTTTGGCTATTACACAGCGCCCCCCAGCCGAGGTAAGCGACTTGCGATCGAAAGGGAGATCACGATAGCTCAGTTTTTTCGTCTGTCTCGCTTCTTCTTCAATGGCTTCTCCAGTGGCGGGTCTCTCGCTGCGCTGCGGCGACTGTGGCACGCTTCTTCGGAGCGTGGAGGAGGCGCAAGAGCACGCGGATCTCACATCTCATGCCAATTTCTCCGAATCTACCGAGGCCGTTCTCAATCTCATCTGCAACACCTGCGGAAAGCCCTGCAGGTCCAAAACAGTATGAACATTCTCTTCGTTTTCCCCGCGTTGACACACTGGGAAATTGGGTTTTTAATGGTGGGATTTTTGTGGGGTTTCATTTTCTTAAAGGAGTCCGATCTGCACACGAAGAGAACGGGGCACGCGGACTTCACCGACAAAACCCTGGAAGCCGCCAAACCGATCGATTTGGAGGCTTCCAAACCACCTGCTGTTAATTCCGAGGGGAATGCCACTGTAGCTGCTGCCGTTGCTTCTGAGAGCGGGCAATCGGATGGTAATTCTTTTGTTTCTATGTCATGCCTCTGCAGTTTACCTTGTAAATACTGCATTTTACCAAGCTTAAACTTCTTGTAGTACGCTTATTTTTGTAAAACCATTGTCTTAAAACTGGATTTATCAGATTATGGGGGTGTTTGGCTGGACTAGGATTTAAGTTAAATAGCATTTAGTCCGGATTTATCAAATCCGGATGCTGTAAATCCATAATAATGTTCGGCTAAGATTAAATTCACTTCTATTTGGCGTATTGGGCATCTTATGTAAGGATTTAATTTTCTTGTGCACTAAATCGTTAAATGCAACTAAAAATCGGATTTAGTGAATTTAGCAAACTATCGGATTTATTTCATGGTTTTTCGCATTTGGGTTGATTTACGTTAAAATCTCCCTTAAATACTATTAATTCTATGCTAGCAAACACCAATGTTCCAAATGTACTGTTTGCTAGGATTAGCTTTAATTCATTCTGATACCTACTAAGGAACTCTTTGGTAAGGCCGCCTGTTTCTATAAAGGTGGTGTAAAGTTGTTGTGGGGAAGATAGCCTTTTTATAAAGCGGTTTTTATAAAGGTGGTGTCATGTATGAAAAAGCCGGACAATAGCATTTTTATCTTTACGTAGTTTTAGCGGATTTGGTTCTCAAAAGGAGTGCTTCTCTCTATAGCTCTTGTTGAAAAGCAACAAAAAACTAGTAGGCAAACAAATGTCCGGTACATTTTTGAAAAAAAAAAAAAAGTACAGTAGTGATTTGAAACGTAAAACAGTGGCAAAGCTGCCCCCAACAAATCCTAATGTTTACAATCGAATAACCCTCAAAGTTTCTATGAAAGTGCTCATTGTTTTGTATGTGCGGTATATAATAACTCTTATCATTTCGTTAGATTATACTCATCTAAAATTTCACTAGACTTCATAATTCCCAACCCTACCTTATTTGTCCACTTAAACTCATAAATTTGAAACTAGCACTTGGATATTCAGATTTTATCATGTTGCTATCTTTCTCATGATCTACCTTTACTTGCTTTCTCCTATTGTACCCTCTCTTTATTTTCTTCTGAGGTAAACTTCGATCAATGGTGCAATTTTGTTAATGTTGTAAAAATCGAATATGGTGCTTACCAACTTGAGGGTGGCGAAGCAAGATTATAATGCCTCACACACATTTGAGAGCCCTATTGCCAATTCATGCATAGGAGAACGCCTTGTCTTAAATGCTAGTTGGTGAGGTGAGCAACTTTTATTAATTTAAATGTTGAAGATAAGCTAGTTTTTAATGATGGTGAATTAACATTAGATTATGTGAAAGTGCGTGAAGTGGTAGAGAAACAAAAAGCTCGTGGAAGTAAAATGATCAATTGTAATTCTAAGAACCAAAGTTCTAGAGTAATCAATCTTGAAGATGAGGATAAGTCCAAGAATATAGAGGAAGTCAAGATGACCTAATTGAAAGAGAAGGATAAATAGTAGCAAAACTTTTATTATCTTTAGGATTTATGCAATGAAATTTTGTTTTGTAATTGCTTGTTCTAAAAAAAATTAATTAACTCAATTATTGAACCCGAAATACAATGAAAGATGAAAATTCATTTTTTTAACAAGCACAATTTAATGTGATATTTTTCATCTCATAACCTTAAAAACAATCTTCATAATCAAAATAAATGTATAAATGTTATAATTTTTTTTTAAACCCTTCTTCACTTGAGCTAGCCTTTTGGTGGAGCCTCGTGTTTTTGACCTTGGAAAACCATATTACCTTGACTTTGCCCAAGTTTTTTGAGAAGATTAACCAATGCCACTATGTCATGGTAATTGCATAACTTTGACAATTGGTTTCAACATTCATAGGGAAAGTGTGTTAAAACAAAAGAGCTAATTTTTTAACTAGGTCATGGTAAAAAGAACTAAGGTACATGATACCGTTCCAGGGCTTCTATAAGGTGTTTAGGAAGCGGTTTTAGCGGGGAGATGGTTGCGGGGTGACGAGGGAAGGGGAATATGGGAGGTCAATGGAATTTGGAAGGGGTATGAGGTGAAATCTGCTAACGGATAGTAGACTCATTTTCGATCAGTGGCTTTTTTGGCTGAAAACAACGAAGCAAACAATGGAATGCGTAGTACAAAGGTTGAGGAGGTTCACCGCCTGTTGTTGCACAAGCTATAAACACATCACTTATAAAAGGGATATGGTACATCACTCCTTAGGGTAGAAACAAAGGTTAAAATCTTCAAAATACTTAAATCAAAGCAAAAAATGCTTTTCTTTCGTATTTTACATGTTGTTTTTTCACATTTCCTATTTTGGAATAGGGTCAACATTTGCGCACCTGCACTGCATGCGTATGAGTGATTTAGGTGAATTGTCCAAAACAAAAAAAAAAATAAATAAAACTTATATATAGTCTCATGTTAGAAAGAAATTCTAATTAGAAGCAAATGAATAGGAAATAAATTAGAAAAGGTATTAACCCTTGCTAAATTTGTGAACTATATGAAATTTTCCTATTTAGCGCTCGGTGATCTCATTTACGGCCCGAGACTGTAGCGAAATTGTGATTCCCATTGTCGCGGGAGTTCCACGTATCACAAATCACTAAAGTTATGCGTCCCGTGACCTCGACTTATGAATTGTTCTCCCCGGCTAGGATAGACTTATTTTTCTTCTTTGAAATGACCTAGGTCCCATTGTTGAATATTCTTTCCCCAAACACTTAAGAAGATTCTCACAACTGTGGTTCACCACTCCAGTTTGGCTATTTGTTTGTGGGGCATTGGTGAATTGGATTAGAGCTTAGTATTCAATTTACGCCATAAGACTTTCAAAATTTGCTCAGAAAATTTACATCTCTATCTGAAATGAGGACATGTTGGACCTCCTTATGTAGTGATGACCTTGGTGGTAGGTTGTAACTCAGACAATCCTGAAAACCTCTTAGGTGGGGTTGCTTGGTGTCTTGTATCGGCTTCTAGAGGTCACTACCTTTTAAAACAACTAAAAAATTTTTGTTGGAGTCTCTTTCATGGGCTCATCTTGAATCTTGTGCATCTTTTGCTCGTCTGTTGCCGGCAATACTCTTCTTTGACGTCTTCATTTTCTCCTATTTCACTGTCTATTTCTTCAACTACTTTCAACCCAATGAAATAGATGGTCCTTTCGCTTGGCCAATCAGACATAATGTGCCCAAAACCATGACATTTGAAGCATTTCATGGCTGAGACGGATTTGAGAGTGCTGGTTGGCTCAATGTTTTCTCCACTATGAATTGATTTCTTCTCCAAAAACCATGACATTTGAAAGAGGTTTGCTGCGAGTTGAGTTTCGCAAATAGGATAATTTCAACTGCAGCACTGAGAGACTGACCAATATGCCTAGAAACAACTCCTTCATACCCTGCATCTGCACCATAACTAGAAGAAACATACCCACTCGAAAATCTTTAGTGTAGTTCTTGCAACCCTTCTCGCCAAGGGTGACCAGTAAAAGCTTCAAGGTAGGCTGCCATAAAAACAAAGCCATTTCATCTTCCATTGAATCCTTACTAGTTAATAATTCAAGCTCAACGTCACTAAATTTAATGACATCAGCTTGGTCCCAGATGCCCAAAACTTGTTCCTTCGCCTTTGCTGCAGAAGGCCGCTATGGCGGCCGAACGTTTGGGTTATAAGAGAAAAATTTCTGCTTCCTTGGTAACCTCCATGGCTTTTAAATGAGATGGCCTACATGGCTCTGTGATCAGACTTATAGATCCGCAATGGAAGACTTTCGCCCTGCAGATAAGGTCGAGATTGAACCCAATCGACATAAGAAGCATATTAGTGTTAGGTTTACGATAGAACATAAACTCGCATTCGCCATTGGAAAGGATGGTGACACAAGCTAGCGTGGTGCGTGCATTGACGTCAAAAGTAACACCTTCGTTAGAGACGTCGTTCTCGTGGAGGATTGCTACGAGCATGCGGTCAAACTCGTTGTCGCCGAGACTCCCCATGAAAGATGTGCGACCTCCAAGGCGAGGGACGACGACGGTGACATTCGCTGGAGCTCCATCGGGGGCCTTTATGAACCTTGCACGTCGGCGAGCATCTCGATATTGTCGGGATGAAGTGGATCAACATCTCATCGAAACTCACAATAAGACAAATATCTTCGCAGTCTACAATAACTATCGATGGAGAGAGAGAGAGAGAGAGAGGGAGAGAGAGAGAGAGAAGATGGCCAGCTTTGAAATCCTACATCAGGTTAGCGGCTGTGGAGATGATGGGCATCGTGACCCGCATGCAGTGAGGCCGACGATGATGCCGCCTTTAGGGCTGACAAGGGCAGAGATGGCGAAGAAGAAAAATCTCTTTTTCATATATTAAGAGGAGTGCCCCTCTCTGCTCGCACGAAAGATGGCAGGAAGGGGTTCCGACATATCTAGAAGGAGGATCGATGGCTAGGGTACGAAGTTAAGCTTTAATACTACGTTGAAATTTAGAATAATACAAATTAAAGTGTGATATTCATTGATATGAAATGGGTTATAAATAATCCTTACATGAATCTTAAAATAGGAGATACAATAAAAAAAATATAATGAAAGGAAAGATATAACTCATAACATCTCCAATTAAATAATTCATATTTATTATTTTGGAGACAAAAAAAACAATATAAAATAGGAAAGTTTAAAATAGGGAATGAAATAAATCCAGTCCAAGGAAATTAATATAAAATAGGAAATGAAATAACTTCTAATCTAAGGAAATAATTTATTCATCGAAATTTTTCACAAGAATAAATTATTTCCAAATATAAGTTCTAACACTTTCTGTGCCCACTATCTCAAGATCAAATTGATTCGCTATTTGAGTAGAGATGAAGTTGTTGGTGGCTCCAATTTTCATCAGCACAACAAAGTCCTGCTCTCCGATCTGCCTCTGAAGTTTGAAAGTGTGGTTCAGTGTTAATCCCACCACTGAGTTCAATAAGACTTCTGCCACATCCAAAT